GGTGAACTTGGAAGGAGCGTTGGGCTTGGCTGCTCGCTCGGTTCGGTAGTAAGTGTAGGCGTCTCTGAGCTCGGGAACAGGAGCATCGTCAATCTTCTCGGGAGACCAGGGCAGGTAGGAGATAGCCTTGCCGTTGGCCTCGTCGGTTCGGGCCTTGGCTCCAAGCTCAAGAACCTGGCCAACAATGTCCTTCTGGTCTCCGTTCCAGCCCTGTCGGTACATGGCTCCGATGTTGACGGCAGACACGGTTCCCACAGCCTTGATTCGCTTGTCGTCAATAGCAGCGTTCACGGTGTAGCCTCCAGAAGCACAGATTCCAAGAATACCAATCTTGTCGCTGTCGACGTAAGAGAGGGTAGTCAGGTAGTCGATGGCAGCAGAGTTGTCTTCGGTTCGAATGGCAGGGTTCTCAAGATGTCGAGGCTCTCCAGTAGAGTCTCCCTGGTAGGAAGCATCGTAAGCGAGAGTCACAAAGCCTCCAGCAGCGACCTTGTTGGCGTAGATACCCGAGGTCTGCTCCTTGACACCTCCGGCAGGGTGTGCGACGACAATGGCAGGGTACTTCTTGGACTCGTCAAAGTTGGGGGGGAAGTTGAGGGTAGCCGAGATGGTGATTCCCTGTCCGTTGAGGTTCTTGTAGGTGACGTTCTTCTGAGTGACAGACATTGTGTTGTGGTTGTGGTAGTTGTGGTTGTGGTAGTTGTCTTTGTTTGATGTCTTTTTCAATCCAGAAATTCGCCGTTTATATATTTTATATATTTCATCGGGTCATGTTTCGCTTATGCTTGCTCGAGCAGTTCCACACGCCTTACATGCAGATGTTCTTTGTCATCTCAACTTTAAAGGTCATCTCCGTTGTTGGTGGACTTAATAAAAACCTTAAGTGGTGGTAAAATCCGTCGACAACGGAGATGACGCGAAAATGTGGAAAATGGTAAAAAAATAAAAAAAGGGATAAAACAAGAAAGGGACATTCTGATGAATAATGGCGACGGAGAAGATGAATTGGGTTCGAGAGCAAGTCGTTTTAGTCAGATTTGGATCTTTTTGGATGGACGATTTCCATCTGTTTTCGAGAGAGCTTGCCACACGATCGCTACTAAGTTGTACGATTTCAGGCACCATTTTGAAAAAGAAAAAATATTTGAATAATCAGGATAATAAAGATACTGAGGATTCTAAGGATAATAAGGGGTATATTGACGACAATTCAGGTTAGTGGATTCCCACAGTACAGTATGTAGTCCATAACTTGTCTCCCACCCTCTCCACTTCTCTTACCTTCTTGATCTCCATTGTACAGTCTCCACCTGCAAGAGCAACCAACTCAATTATCAAGAACGGAGTTACTGTAGGACAAGATGGCGGTGATGCAAAGTTGACCGAGAGTATATAACCGGTGTCAATTTCCTGAGAACATACTCTCTACTCACACATCTACTCACAAACACACCTACTCATCATGTCCAACATCTCCATCAAGAACGATAACGGTAACGGAATCACTCTGGCTGCCGTCATCAACAAGCCCAAGAACTTTGACGAGACGAAAAAGTACCCTGCCGTGGTCGTCACCCATCCCGGAGGAGGCGTCAAGGAACAGACTGCCGGTACTTACGCCAAGGAACTGGCCGATAAGGCAGATATCGTCACCATTGCCTTTGATGCCTCTTACCAGGGAGCGTCCACTGGAGAACCCAGACATCTGGAGAACCCCTACGTTCGAACTGACGATATCAGCGCCGTGATCGACTACCTGGAGACCCTGCCCTTTGTCGATGCTGACAAAATTGGAGCTATGGGAGTCTGTGCTGGTGGAGGCTACACTGCCAATGCTGCCATTAACGATCCCCGAATCAAGGCCATTGGTACTATTTCTGCAGTCAACATTGGCCAGATGTTCCGAAACGGCTGGGAAGGCAACGTCAAGGACGCAGATGCTACTGCCTACATCAAGGCCGGTTCTGACGCCAGAACTGCTCAGGCCAAGACTGGAGATATCGCTACCCTTCCTCTGGCTCCTACAAAGAAGGAAGATGCACCTAACCCCGAGATGGAAGAGGCCTGGGAGTACTACCACACTCCCCGAGCCGAGCACAAGAACTCTCCCGGAGTTATGACTGCTCGATCTCTGGCCCAGATCATCCCCTACGACGCTTACAACAAGGCCGAGGCTTTCCTGACCGTTCCTATTCTGGTTGTCTACGGTGAGAACGCTGGTAGTCAGTGGATGTCTGAGGATCTTGTCAAGCGAGCTGCTTCCAAGGATAAGAGCTCCCATTTCGTCAAGGGAGCTAACCACATGGACCTTTACGATAAGAAGGTCGATGAGGTTGTTCCTGAGCTGGTCAAGTTCTTCAAGAAGCACCTGTAAGAGTTGTATAATTTATAAATAGATATAGACAGAAACGGAAGAGAAGTAGTAGTTGTTGTGAGGTGGATTGAGCAATATTTGAAGTAACTAGGTAGTTCTTGAATGGTACGTCTGTTGACCTTCTTGAACAGCTGTGAAAGGTGGCAGTTTATTTTATGGACAGAAATTCAGAGAGAAAAGTCCTCAAAAAAGACAGTAAGTCTTGGGACTTTACCGTTGTATCTATTAGAGTCTCTATAGTAGGACTGCCAGTATATGTGACTTCATTTCGCATTATTGAGTGAAATACAGATACCTCTCGCTTACCACGACCCAACTCAACTCAACTCAGCGAATAATAGCCTCACGGTTGAGAGGAGTTGATCATTGCATTCGTACGAAGATATAGATTCTCAAAATACAACTGATTTACCGATACATTCTCTTTTTGAGTAACTAGGTGGAGACGCTTGGTTACACTGATCTCGAGTGGATGAGAATAGAGAAGCAGATAATACCTAGGTGAACGATTAGACGTTATCATTAGATTAATCAGAGACTTAAGACTCAAATGATACCGTTTAACTTCTTGTGTATATCCTCGTTTAGTAGCGTATCTATGTTCATGTTGAAATTCCACCCAACTAGAAAGTGCTTATAGCTTCAAATTAAAGCAAAATAGTCGAGATGACTTGATAATTAGAGACTTCCAAGAACCGCTAATCTGATGAGACCATTCTCTTTTCTCCAAGTTGCATATTCAACCTTTTAGTCTCAGAAGTTGACTTGAGGGCTAACATATAACTGTCTATAACATTGTGTAAAATGCTAGTATATGTAATAGGAGTCCTTTATGAGATCAAATAGAGCATAATAATTCAATGGAGGCCTTTCATTTACCTATATTACCTTTTGTTCGTGCTACATTACCGACTTCAGGAACAACCACATATAGGAGTGGAAATATTTCAACGAGTAACAGCAGCAGCGAAATGTGGAACGACCATTACGACCGTCTCTGTGACAGGTTTTACTCATAATAACCATCTCCCTCTGAGATTAATTCACGTAAAACTACGAGCTACAACCAGAAATACTTCTACTTCGAATGGAAAAGGGAAACGTGATAGGTACAGATAGAGAATAACGTGGGCCATTATTATGGAGTGTTGCATCTAAAGATTCTCACGCCATAATCTTGCTTCCCTATGTTAAAAGGACATTCCTTTCCCAGACCTCTCTCTCAAGAGCTCATACAAATATGATGAGTAGTATGACGTCCAAATTGAAGCAGAAAACTCCTATAAACTATCCAAGGGGACAATTGAGTCGTAAATACAGGTAAATGAAGAAATCCAGTCCTTATATGTAGTACTTTTAGATACAACCAGGTATTTCTAGCTTCACTGAGACCCTCTTTAACGTAACTTTTCAGAAGGTAAGGAAAGACCGATATAGTTCACTTTTTAACCAATAATACCGCAAGTCAAACATCGTACGATCAAGTGACTCATAAATCAAATTCCATACCACCACTTTTCTCACTACAAATACCATACTCGTCCCAGTATTATCGCCCTTGCACTTCCACTCATCCTCACTGCATATGCACGTCTACCCATGCATGGACATGCATAAGAAATCAAAACACTGAGACAACCGATATTGATCCTCCACAAACCACGATGAAAATCAAAAAGGACGTCAAAGAACTCTTCTCAAAAACACCAGCCGATATATGTGTGTCCCCTGACTACGATGGCTCGCTCCAAAATATCGCCATCGTCATTTTGGGGCCTGAGGCAACACCTTACCATGGAGGAGCATGGCAGATGGTCATCAAAGTGCCCTCAGACTACCCTCAATCTGCGCCCAAGGCCTTTTTCAAAACCCGCATTTTCCACCCAAACGTCCAACCCTCCACTGGCGAGGTCTGTGTAGACACTCTCAAACGAGACTGGACTCCAACGACCTCCTTGTGCGATATCTTGATCACCATCAGATGTCTCTTGGTACACCCTAATCCGGAGTCTGCGCTGAACGAGGAGGCTGGAAAACTTCTTCTGGAGGACTACGCTGCCTTTTCGCGAACTGCTCGACTCATGACCAACGTCCATGCTCTTAATAGAAGCGATTACGTCAAAGACGAAAAGACTGAACCTGCAACATCGGCTGTATCCAGCGCCAAAAGAAGCCAACAGTCGTCTTCGCCAGATGTAGAAGTACAGAAATCCGTGGATGGATCTGTTTCTGCTGCGTCATCTCTCGAGATTCCCCTGGCTCCTAGACCCGCCAAAAAACCAAAACGAAAAACCGGCCTCAAACGTCTCTAAGTGCTTGATCCGGGATATTTATTAGACAAAAATGTCATCAGTGTAATAGAAAACTATTTTTCGAACCCGTGGATGTTCCTATTCTGTTTATTGTGTCGTTGTCGTGTTTTTGTATGTACGATTTTGATATGAGAAAAAGTTGAAATTTTCGACATAGACGTAACAGAAACAACCTCAAATTAAACATACTGTCTATATGACCACCAATAAACCTCTCGGTACCCTCAAAACAGCAAAAAACGCGAAATTTTCGCGGAAATAGATTGCCAAATATCATATGAAATAGCGCGGATTTTCGCCCTGGAAACCATCCCTCCCCTATAGCTCAGTTGGTAGAGCGTTCGGCTTTTAGTAACCCTAAAGGCATAGCAACCGAAATGTCCAGGGTTCGAGCCCCTGTGGGGGAGTATTATCTTTTTGCTCGTCCTTTAACGACTGTGCATATGTTGTTGTATCACACACTACATTTTTCAGCACTGCGTCAACCCTAGTTACCCGGTTGTGGCTCTGAGCCTATATATATCCGAGACTCCCACTTAATTTTTTTCACCAATCAACAACGAAAAAGTGAGTGAAGCAAGAATCATTATCGACACTATAATGATGACAAAACATAGGGACAACCTAACACCTTGAGGAAAAACATATGGAATCTAGATAGTAATAATCTGACTTCTTTTGTTTGAATTCTTTCAACTTTTGAGAATCCTACTAACCAAGTGCCTTCTGCAGCCTTTGATTCGTCATGCTATATAGATTTAATATTACAAGTACCACTAAACGCAGAAACGCGAGCTGTACGCTGTATTGACTGTATAAACACGTTTCCATGTGCAATTTCGCTTATCGGGTGATCGGATGTTGAAATTACAGGAGATCGACTCGATCGATATTACTTGGCCATTGAGTAATTTAGTAACCAAAAGTCGTATCAAGCAAGCCCCCCTAGTAATTCTACAAAACACAAGCAATTCATACAAAACATAAGCAATTCATACAAAATCAAGCAACTCTTACAAAATCAAGTAACTCCTACAAACACAAGAAAAGGCTACAAACACTTACAAACAAGCAACACCTACTCGTACTTGTACCAGGTACACCACCAAAAATCTATCATCATTAGTTTCATTGCAATATACATAAATAATCGTTAATCAGAACAGGAAAGACCCGTTTTTTGCTCCCTTAGAAGTCCTCGTCAAGAGAGAAGCCGTTGGAGTTGGTCTTCTCCTCCTGGTTGGAGTTGGCCATGACACCGGCCTTCTGGTAGTCGGACACTCGCTTCTCGAAGAAGTTGGTCTTGCCGGCCAGAGAAATGTTCTCCATGAAGTCAAAGGGGTTGGTGGAGTTGTAGACCTTGGAGTTGCCGAGAGCAACCAGCAGACGGTCAGCAACAAACTCAATGTACTGGCACATGAGCTTGGCGTTCATGCCGAGCAGACCGCAGGGCAGAGCGTCGGTGAGGAACTCCTGCTCGATGCCAACAGCCTCGACAATCACGTCCTCGACAATCTTCTTGGAGGGTCGGTTCTCGAGGTGCGAGAAGAGCAGACAGGCAAAGTCGGTGTGCAGACCCTCGTCTCGGGAAATGAGCTCGTTGGAGAAGGTGAGGCCGGGCATGAGACCTCGCTTCTTGAGCCAGAAGATGGAGGCAAAAGAGCCGGAGAAGAAGATGCCCTCGACGGCAGCAAAGGCGATAAGTCGCTCACCAAAGGTAGACTCCTCGTCGGAAATCCACTTGAGAGCCCAGTCGGCCTTCTTCTTGATGCAGGGGATGGTCTCGATGGCGTTGAACAGGTAGTTTCGCTCCTTGGGGTCCTTGATGTATGTGTCGATGAGCAGCGAGTACGTCTCCGAGTGGATGTTCTCCATCATGATCTGGAAGCCGTAGAAGCACTTGGCCTCGGGCACCTGAACCTCTCCGGAGAATCGCTCAACCAGGTTCTCGTTGACAATACCGTCCGAGGCGGCAAAAAAGGCCAGAACGTGCGAAATGAAGAACCGCTCGTCGTTGTTGAGCTTGTTCTCCCAGTCGCCCATGTCCTTGCCGAGATCAATCTCCTCAGCAGTCCAGAAAGAAGCTTCGGCCTTCTTGTACATCTGCCAAATCTCGTGGTACTGGATGGGGAAGAGAACAAACCGACGTCCGTTCTCCTTGAGCAGAGGCTCGTTCTTCTCGGACTCCCGCAGTCGTCGTCGAATGGTGGTGTGATCGCCCTCGATGATGTTGGCCTTGGTAAACTCCTTCTTGTCCTCAACCTGAACGGCAGGAGAAGACTCGAGATCATCTCCCTTGGAAACACCAGCATCCTGGAAGAGCTTCTTGGGGGTCTTGAGCACGAGGTCGTTGAGGTCCTCGGCGACCTTCTTGGAGGGTGTCTGAGTGGCCATTGTGATAGTTGTGTGGAGTTGTAAGGGGGTGAAAGGAGGTGTGTGGATTCAAAAAGCAGGGCACACGCACAGGTATTTAAGGTGGCTAAATTAAAACACGGTTGCGCGTGCTGGTCTGAGAAACTCGCCCAGCCAGCAATATGCACGCAACTTTTTTGTTTTGATGCAGCTCTCATGCGGCCCTCAACCAGCCAAAGAGCCATTGCAGGCAAACCTTAACGCGTCTAGTGGAGGGGAGAGATGTAGTGGTGTAGAAAAGAGTGGTAATTCCGGGGTGGTCACGTGACCACATTCGCCCAGGTGTATCTTCCCGCTTAGTCAGCATATCCTCACTTTTCCTTCTCTCAATCTGGTTCAATCCACACAGGCTGAGCCCCTTTGCATGCACGCGGTGCCTTTTCAAAACACACGACCCATGCACGCAAATTGACTAATTAACGTGCATGATGTACAGTGGACCACAACAGAGGAATTTTGGGGTGGATAAGGGGGGTATGGTATATTTGGGGACATCAGAGTGTTCCCGGATCGATTCTTGGTTTGCTGACACTCTCCGTTTTTCTATAGCACCATTTTTGGCCAAGTTAGATGCCCTCTGCTCCCTCTGTTATGTCCCCTTTACGTGTTTATTGCGTCTAATTAATGTGCATGAAAAGCTGGCACGCGTTGACCCCAGAAGACACAACATAGCAGAGCGAACAAGGCCGATCTTGGGGCATCGAGCGCAGCAACGTTTCCGGCCGTTTATCAGATGAGTGGGCCGAAGTTTGGGGCCAGTTGGGGCGGAAACCGGGAGTTTGAGACAGTGTGGAAAACCAGGCTGTATAATTACGATACAGTGTGAAATGGCTGGATATGAATAATGAACCAAAGACCAGTAACCACAACCACAACCACAACCACAACCACAACTACCACCTACGGTTTGTCATCGTCTAGTCATCGACACTGTACACATTCCGGTTGTAACTCTTTCGGGCTTGGTTCCGGCTAACAATGACGTACAGGCACGGTATGCGGATGAAGCCACCGCGCTAACGCAACGCGAGGTTAATGATCGGGGAAGGGTAAGTGTGTAAATCGGTGGAGTTGGGGGGGGAATTGGGGTCACGTGGGTGGTTTGAAACTATGGTATGTTGGTTTTGTCACGTGACTTGTTTTTCCCCTTTTTCATACGATATCCTACGACTCCTACAACTTGTTGTTTAGTCCAGGTTTAGCCCACGTTAGTCCTCTGCCCATCAGACGCGTTCCACTTAAACCCAAAGCGGCAAAGAGACTGCTACTTTGGCACGTTTGCCACATGACAATGGAGCAATGCGATGAGCAAGGGTGAGGCTGGATGTGAGGAGGGTGAGGGACGGTGTGTTTGGAACTGGCTTGTTGTTCTTTTGTTTTATTGTTTTATACTGTTCTTTTGTTCCCTGCTCCATGTTCAGTGAGGACCATACAGTGTCTGGTAACCGAGACTACCAGTACAGCACTGTACGCACCTCTACAACGTCATACAAATACTCGTACGTACTGTACTGTACCTACGTCTGCTGTTTCACCTGAGGGTCCCGCACTTCCCCTCGCTATTTTTGCTTGTTTCACCCTGTCTCACCTCCTTGCTGTATACGCCTAAAGAAAGTTATCAGATCTTAATCAACATTCCCCTGGCCTGAGAGTCAACCTACAGTGCCTTTGAGCTTGGCGTTTTTTATCTGATCCGAGCCGTTTGTCCGAGACGCCGCTTGTCGCCACTTGGTTTGGCCCTTTGGGGCTCTTTTCGTGCTGGTAGCGTAGTTTGGTTGTGTGGTATTTCTAGAGACTGGTGTACAGCCTCTACAGCCTCTACACTCAGAGATATCTAAGGTCATAATTGTACGAGTACGAGTAGTGCTACTTTTGAGATTGAGATACTTTTTGGACAGTGGTTATACGTACATATACATCCTGATGCCGTTTCTGCACGTGGTATTGATTTGCCACCCTCGTTGACTCAATGGCACCATCTGTTAGTTCATTTGGCTGCAGGGTTTGGCGCAGGTTGACCCATATGATTATCGATATGTAGTGATGCAATGAAGCACATGAGTACAAGTGCCGCAGTATGGGTGGCGCCCTGTGAGTGGGGTACAAGGCTGGTACCGCTACAAGTACCAGGTACTTGTGTTTGGATGTTTGCTGTGGTGGAAGTGGTGAGTCTGCTTGTCGGCCGTGTGATAGTCAGCCTCTATTTATTGAATGTGATGGTTAAACGGGATCCATATGGAAAGACTGCACAAGAGATGTGACAATAATGACAAATAAATCAAAATATTCACAAAAGTGACCAAAAGCAGCCCAAAGAGTACAAGTACAACATCAACCCCCACTATCAGCCTGAAACCCCACACCTACTCAAATCCACCTTTTAATCATCTCCATGGACTCTACCATCAGCCATATACTCGACTGTCCCAACTAAACGCTAACTAAAACTCGACATCAATCATAGGAAATAACGGCTGATCAATCCAGTCACGTGACCCACAGTACGACGGTCTCTGTACTCCACGTCAACGCTCCCGTACCTGCACATTCACCTTCCACTTCCCCTCTCCCAATATCATCCCTTGACGGTGGAGCAACTAATGACGCAGGCGCTATACAGCAACCTAAACTCTGGCCAAGGATGTTCCATAAATAGATGACATGTAAAGTGAGACCGGTACTCGTACACTTGAGAGTAAAGATACTGGAACAGGACCACAACGACTATAAATACCCTGGTCTACTCACAATGACCACTACATGACTTCTGTAACCATATTTATTTCATATTCATTTTATATTTTCCATTTCCCATTTTTTCCCCCCATTTCCACCATTTTCCTAAACTCTCCTGTCATCTCACCTCCAAACTCTCGAGACTGTACCTAGCTTCAGAATGTAGTGTAGCATACTTTTGACCTTTTGGCATTTTGGTCTAGACCATATACCACTGTACAAAAGCCACTAGCACAAGTCACGTGACATAAAACCCTGC